GGCGGGAGGGAGGGAGGGCGGTAGGGTGGCAGAGGGATAGAGAGATAAAAAGAAAGGGGGAGAGAAGGAGGGGAGGGTGAGTCAGGACGCGCCGCCGGCGACAGACTGCACTCTCTCGTGGCGCTCAGAGCGCAAGCGTGCACGTGTGTTGTGCGTTCTGTGCCCTAACCCTGTCCCGCTACCTGGGAGGAGTAGCGTGGTCGTCATCCCTCCGCGGCTACATCCCCACCGTGCCGCCGTTGCCGCCGTTGCCGCCACCGCCAACGACACCGACGCCGACGCCGCCGTCGGCTCGCCATCCCTTCCGACGCGCGTGGAGGAGCGCCGCGTCGCACCACGGCCGACGAAACGACGGCGACGACGACGACGACGACGACAACGACGACGACGACGACGACAGGACCCCCATTGCCGTTACCACTACTACCGCTGCTACCACCACATCGGCGGTCCACGACGATAGTAACTTTGGTCGTCGACAGTAACTTTACTGCCGACGCGTTACATCACGCGTGACGTTGCACGTTAGCGCGCGGCGACGTATACACACGCGCGTTTCCCTTTTCCCTCACGCACGCCTCACGCTCACGGCGCGCGCTGAAACACAGACAGAGAAACGTTGGCGGAAGGGGAGCGGAGAGAGGGGTTCACCAGGGTGGGAGCAACCAGGAAGGGTGGAAGGAGGAAATCGGAAAGAGACACGGAAGGGAAACTAGAGTCGTAGGGGCGGAAGGGGTAGAGGGGTGAGCAAGAAAGAGGAGGAGGTACGGGAGGACGACGACGAGGGCGACAACGGCGACGACGACGACGACGACGACGACGACGACGGAGGAGCGCCGGCGGTGGAGGGGGTGGACATCCACGCGGGAACACGAGGCAGGCGCACCCGGCCGGCACGCGCACACACATCCTAAGATGTGATTTCAAAAATGGCGGATTGCCCCTATGCCCGCTGCATACAGGAACGCAGACACATCCGACGGGAGCTGCTGCGATGGACAAAGAATATGGTCTTCGTAGTCGGTGAGTAAAGAATCGAATCGTTCCTTCTGCTGGAGGAACAAGTTGCATTCGTACTTACGTAAGTGTATATATATCGGCTCATATTTTATATCGGCATGTGCATATGCATGCGACGCGTGAAAAAGGTATTTTCGCGCGGAGATACACGCCGTACACCGTAGGGTGTACCGCAAACAACTGAACTCGCGTGCGCGCTCATCTCGCGTACAAGAGGAGTGTCATCAGCGTGCTTGTTGCGTTGGCGCGCGTGCACGTGTATGTGTGCCAATAGTGTTCCATGTGTGTGTGTGTGTGTGTGTTTGCCGAAGTATGTACGTGTGCGCGTCTGCATGTACATGCATACGTTCGCCTACGTTCCGCGTGGCGTGTTTCTATGTGTGTCGTGGATATATATAGCGTAGAAACAGAATCTCTGTCAGTGTGCGAACGTGAAGAACGAGCGAGAGAAGTCGGGAGAGGAAGAGAGATGCGGTGAGAAAGAGAGAATAGGGAGGAAAAGAGAGATAAAGAGAAAGAGAGAGAGAGAGAGAGAGAGAGAGGGAAAGAGAAAACACGCTGGTGGTTGAGACCTGTTGCGAACCGAAACGCCGAATCCTGGCTGACTATGTGCCAGGCGTGACTCCTACTCGCGCCTGCACGTTCAACAGGGTGGTACCACGCTGCCGGAAAATCCGATAATATTCTGTGAGTAGTTGCGGTTTGAAGTTTTCGTGAGTGTGTCTGTTGAGAAAAGGTCTTTCTCTTAATTATCTATTGCGATGTAACGATCGTGCAATTAACCGCGATTTTAAAATCATTGGAGTATTTTTGTCATGTTTTATAAATCGAATTATCACAGATATAGTCTTTCCTATATTAAATTAACTGTATATAATGTGTAATACAATTTAGTACTCGATGGCTATAGTAACTACCTATAATCGTGAATAGATTCTTACGAATATGTAATTATTCTCTTTTCCGAGACTGAGTAATCGATAATCGGTCTATATAAAGATTGAACCAACACGTTCGGAAGGCAATCGTTATATGACTGTCTGATTCATCAATACCTGAACGAAGAACGAACTTGGCGATAGAAAAACAATAGGTTAGATGTGTTCAATGTCAAAGATTACGAATTTATAAAAAAAAAAAAGAAAAGAAAACACATAAATCGTGTTCTAGTGTGAGAATTAGATCATCCATCGAAATTTGAAATTGGAAAAGGAGATTGGCGCCGGCGTCTCCGTTATCGCTACGAGAAGAATTAGGCGCCGCGCGTGCAATTTCCCGTACAGGGAAGGGTGGCGAAATCAGGCTCGCGAGACAGGCTCTACGACCTCCTCCTCCTCCTCAGTCCACCCTTCCACATCGGCGACGTTTACCCCTCGTTCGGCGTCGCCGAGGGGTAGCAGGCGGGCATCGTCAGACGCGCAGAGAATACTGCACAAGCTGCGTGCCTTGACCACAGACAACCGAGCGATCCCGGCCGCCGCCCGAAACCTTCTTTTCTTCTTCTTACGACTATCCGTCCTCCTTTCCCACCTGCTCCCTTTTTCACCTCTCCTCCCCCCGTCTCCGTCCCCTCCACCAGCCCTCTTCCATCCCGACTTCCCCTTCTTTGCGCCTTTCGGTTAGTCCGTCAAGGGGCGAGCTCCGGCGTACTCGCGGAAGGCACGTTTCCGCACGCGTCGGTGTTGCGTGCACTCGCCGTTACGCTTCTTCCTCCACTTTTGTGACCTCTCCCGTTTCGCACCCTCCGTCTCTTTGGCCCCGATTCCCCTCCCTCTCTGCCCGCTGCGTGCCCTCCACCGTCATCGTCCGCCGCCACCTCTCGTTCGCGTCGCTCTCCTCATTTCGGAACGCAGCTGCCACTGGTGGTCGAGAAATTTTCGCGAATCCTTCCTCGCGAAAGACACCCTCCCTTCCGCTCTCGCCATTCTTTCCGCCCCTACCTTCTACTCCTTCCTTACTTCTGTCGTGTCTGTCGTCTTCGTCTTTCGTAGCGAAGAGATTCTAAAAAGGGAGGCCGACAGCAGTAGTTTGATGGAAAGTACGTGGTGAGGGTGCAGAAGCGACACGAGTTGCATGTGTGCGTCGCGCTCCTCTGCCTCTCCTCTCGAGATTTGCACGATCTTGGAAGATCGACCATCAGTACGCGCTCGAAAAAAAGTGACAGAGGGTGGAACCGACTTTCAAAATCTCGGTAGTGTTTCGATTAGTACACGCGCGAGTGTATATGTGCATTGCATTTGCAGTTAACGGCTACTGTGCGACGTGTCACAGCGGAGGATGAAACGAAAGTGTTCGAGTGTGTGAACGGTCGTCATCGAAGTAGACGCCGGTAGGCGCATAGAAAAAGGTGTCAGTCGGTTCAGTGAGAGTGAATTCTACAGGCGCGGTGTCTTCGTCCCGAAAGGGGTCGTCACACAATTTACGCGGGGCAGCTTCCAAAGTTTAAGGAACTGTTGCTCCGGCAGGAGTTCTCGCCCTTCAAAGGAGTTACAGTTACACCTGTTACGCGCGCGTCGGCTCACCGGCCGGTGATCGGTGCTCGGAAGTTTCGATATATCGCGAGTGCCGAGCGAAGCGCGGCGAGAGACGCGCGGTAATCGTCACGCACAGCGTAATCCCCGTCGTCGGCCTGCACGCACGTATAATCGCGCGATATTCATCGCCGGGGGAGGGGGGAGGGGGCTGCCGACGAGAGGACATGGAATTGGACGTAATGAAGCCTCTTCCCCCGCGCCGCCGTCCCGCCTTTCGTGATACCGAGGAGCTGAGGGCCAACGGGGAGTCGCGATCTCGCGAGGGCACCGCGCGCCGCGAGTGCCGGCAGTAACGATGTCTGAATTGAGTTATCGCACCGTCACGACGTGGACGCCGTACGACTGCACGACAGAGGCGGATTCGGCAGACGTGAAAACGCGGAAGTGGATCGACGTAGTATAGGTATAAAAGTGCCTTCCCCGTTGTGGGGAAGAGGCAGTTGCGAGGCAACGGCGTGACGTGTGTGGCACGTGCGCGATTAGACGCGACGGAGGCCACTGCTTTAGAGACACGCTCTTACGATTTTTCAATCTTTATTAGTAGTAGGTAAGAGATGAAATCAGTCGCTCCCTCTTTAGAAAAAATGTCCTCGACCGATATTCATAGTCGGTTTTGATTTCAGAATCGTCATAAATAATGCTCTAAAGATGCTAATACGGCTCTCTGATTGGTGTATGATATCTTGGGACTGTACTTAACGCATAATTTTTAAATATAAGAATCGACTGCGGATATCCTCCCCCTCTTCCGGCCATAGTTCTGTTCCCTTTGATTAGACAATATTAAATTGTAAAGACTTGTCCCCACATTCAAGTCGATCCTGTTATTATGGTCCCTTTCTTCTCTCTTTTTCCTTCTTTTACAAAGGAGAAATTGCTAGTGTGCTGCTCAACACGATCTGCTTCAATGAGGACGAGTCTTTATAATTTTCATAAAGCCTAATTGAAGAAAGCAGAGCTATGATGTTTTTTTTTCTTCTAAATAGAGAGCGATAATTTCAGCTCATATCACTGGTAGAGATTCAAGATCGTATAAGACATTATTATCCTAACGTCTTTATAAAGAGCAGAGTATAGAGTGTAGCCTTAGAGAATGCAGCTAGAAAGAGAATTTTGCGTATCAGTGATAATCGCAAGTGAGAAGCTGTCAAAGTATATGTAAGAAGTAAACGATGTATAAAGAGTTTTATCAAGCAACCCCCTAAGAACAAATGTCACTTTTGAGTCGTTAAAATGATCGTGTTAATTTCTTTGATGTTAAGAAAAGCGAAGGCCCATCTATTCAGCACACTTGCCTTTTATTCATGCAAAGCATGGATTATGCGAGCATGCGCTCCACTATTACACACATATCCGGTAATATTTCATTGTCTAGTAGAAGATTTATAGAGAATATATAGCTTTGTGAATGATGTAATATTAATAGTTCTTTAGAGAGCTGAGAATGTATAAGGCGACCACTAAAGCGTGACATCCATCTCTATAATAAAACTTGGACCGATCAAGCAGATAAAGTTGTACAGCGTCATTTCCGATTAGCTCGATTACTTCCCATAATTCGTGCTGGACAGGTATTATAAACAAAAATCGAATGCAAACTTTGGGAGACAATATATTTTTGACGTGTGTATCGTTTAGTCGCATCCGTTCCCTTTTCCAAAAAGGCTCGGCACAAGCAGGGCAAGGCAACGCAACGCAATGCAAGGCAAGGCAAGGCGCGAGGAAGGGGGTGGCGGATGGGCGCAGTTACTGCTGATCGTTAAAAGGCGCATAAAAAAGAGAGAGGAGAAGGCGCTGGGTAGATGAGGGTGGGTGGCGGGAGGTCAGAGGAAGCGACGCGAGAAGTAACAATAAAAATTCGTCGGCGTTCGTGTTTCGTCGCCGTGGTAGGTACGGAGGGACGTAAGGAGAGCGAAGTGAGGAGTACGGACGGGGGTTAAACCGAAGCGAGAGAGAAAGCGAGAGAGAGAGAGAGAAAGAGGGAAAGGGGTGAGAAGGGGTGGTTGGGTAGTCGGTGGAGCAGGGTGCGTAATGAAACGATATTGAGTAGCTGTGGTAGGGAGGGTCGCTGCAAGAGGGTGGGGGTCGTCTTCAGCCCTCTCCGTCGATTGACCTCGCTTCGACGAGACGATGGTGGGAGCAAGCCAGGGGCGGAAGTTGGTAGGGCACGGTGGGGGACCAAGCGCCGCGAGCTGCTTGGGAGTCGTAGGAGGAAGGGGGTCCGTTAAATTGACGAAAATGACACATCTTCTCTCCGTCCGTTTCCCTCCCGTCTCACCCCGCTTACCCCGTTACCTCGCTTTTTTCCTCTATTTTGGCGACCGATGCGACGGCGACGGAAACTTCAAGGAACTTCAAAGCGACATTAGCACTCGAAGGGAAAGCGGATAGAAATAAATCGCAATACGCAGTAAAACGAATTGCGCTGTGTGCGTAATCCGGAAGGTCTTACGATACTATCGATAGGAG